ATACATAGGCGATATATCAATAGGTGCTTGTCACATTCTCATTGAAAATCGTATTCCGATTGATCGTGACGTACTATTAAGTGAAATGAATTTTTTTTTCTCTTTACATCGAACAGAAAAAAAGAATGTGAAACGCACAGATTACACAATTGCCTTTATCGTTTCGCGTCATTTCGTTTGATCGTACATCGTACCTGGAATTTTCTTTACACCGAAACAATATTACAATCGGAAACTGTTCTTAAGATTATGGAAGGTTTTATCAATGGAGTCTTTGTCAGCGAAGACTTTCGGTTAAACATTAAATATCGATGATTCATTGATTACCGTTACGTTAAATTTAATCTTGCATAAATTATATATATATATAATCGATCGATTATGAAATTGGAAAATTAATCGACGTATCGGATTAGCATGTCCTTCGAACTGAATCAATTATGTTACTTTAAGGACATTTACTGTGTACATAAGTATATTTATATATATATATACATATATATGTATATTATAATTATTCCTATTACAATGTATACACAAATACAATAATGTACCAACGCAGCAGTGACAAAGAAAGGAACGAAATATTTAAAAATCGTGCAATCGTCAAACATTAATTTTTAAGCATAAAATCATACTCGTGGAAGTGCATCAAGTATTTACAAACAGCAGGGATAATTAAAATCGTTTCACGTAACGCAGATATAAAGATGGAATGACGAGCATAAATATTTAAAAAGTGTTCTCCTTTAAAAAGTTGGTATCATCTTGCACTTAATTTGCTTGGTGAAATCTGGGTGATAATTTTGTATACTGGCGCGTTACTTGTATATTATAGTTTCAATGGTTCAATAAAGATTAATTGAATACACAGGTAGAAAGTGATAAGACCTTCATTGTCATCTCTGCTTATAGTCTTTATTATTATATTAAGAGTCATAGGTCTTAAATAACATAATATATTGATTAACTACACGCAATGATACATTTGTTAGAAACTTTTTAACTCAATCCGCATTGAACATACGTTACATACATTAGTTTCGTCTCTCTCCTATCCGCTGTATAATTATTAACAAGTACACCCCTTTTTTAGCGGTATATAAAACATTTCATATGTCTCAGGTAAGGCTCGAATGAACACTAATATTCTAAGTATTTGCAAAATTTTCATAATGATAATATGTCAAACATTCAAGCCATGATGCTTGACTCGTGATTATTTCGTGCACTTTTCATGGAAATCTATTTATGAAAAATATTATATGTATTCATACATATGATATTGATTTGAATTCAAACAGTATTGAATTAATGACGTGTGGAATCAGTTATGACTTATAGGTAAACATCCCAATTTGACTATGAACGATCACAGCATCTGCCAGTATGTATGTGCGTATTACCATCTTTATTTGTTTTTTCTTTTGCTGCATTCTTTTCCAAATAAAAGCTACTAAGATCGCGTTTCATAGCATAAGCATCTTCTCCGTCAGCATAATATTTTGGTTCAACTTCTGATACTTCAAATTGCAAACTGCTTGTGTATAAATTCAAAGCTGCACGATTACTTCTACGAACATGTAGAGAAACATATTTTGCACCAAAACATTCAACCATTGCCCTGGAAGCTTGATTCATAAGCTTCTGTGCAATACCAAGTCTTCTATGTGACCTTTTTACTGCCAAACTAGTAATGTGTCCATGTGGATTATCTTCGCAATCTTCTTCCATTTTAGCAAGGACATAGCCTACTATTCTGCCTTTTTCATCTTCTGCCACATAACTCAACTGTGGCCACGAAAGAGCGTGGTATAAATAATATTTCATTTGATAATTTTCTGGCAAGCATTGTAAATTGCAATGCTGTATATTTAATAAATCATCTGTCGTAGCACAACGTATATTTATAGACATTTTGATAAATTAAAATATTATAGATATATAAATAAAAAACAATTTTGCTTTGGTCAATTTTCTTCTTTTGATGATCTTTCTCTTTCTAATAATCTTCTTGTCTCAAATATAAAAACGTGTCCTTAATCTTTGCGAATTTTTTTCATGCGAGATCTACCATTCTTTAAGTCATTTACAGGAGAGGATTCACTCATTCCACCCAATAATTCCCGGACAAACCTGAACCTTGAAAGGAAAAACTTCCAAACTAAATACCAACCTAAAAAAGACAGACAAAAGATGCATGTAAAGAAGAGATCCTATAAAAATCACAAATCGAATTTGGATACACTATATAAATACATAGTATGATGAAAATATAATTCACACAACAAACGATGTACGACATAACTACAGTAAATACCTTGTCGATAGTATACATTATAGGGGAAAGATACAAAACAAAAGAAATTTTAACTGTTCGAAACCTAGAATAGCCGTCGAAATTGCACATACACGTGACGATAAAAGTTATGTATATAGTCAAACTCTCCTACTATATTTTCGACTTTGGAACTATACGACTATTCGACAGGCCGGATAACAATGTTTCGAAACACTCTGTAGCACAGCAATAGCGAAAAGTTACTATCTATCGTTCTTACCCAGCAGCACCAGGCCAAATACTATGAGTAGACTCGATATTACGGAGAAGGCTGCTAGAACGATTTCCTGCATTATTAATTCCGTAACCCGATTATGAATATACTAACGGACTTCCTAGAACGACACACACGGGAACTGTGTCATAACCTCTTCCTTTCTTGCTCTTTTAGCAAGAATATTAAATTCACCAAATATAAAAACACGAACGACGGATTTAGCACCATGAAATAGAAATTTTATCTACGTTTTTTCGTTCAATGGTAATACGCCATTTTGAATCGATGACGGAATAGTATATGTACAGGTTATGAATTCTTCCCCCTCCAATTGTATACATAAATTATTCACCGTTATTTAATGAAACGTATAATCTTTCAAGCATATATTACATCACTTACCAAAGTCCAATAGATTGTATTTTGTGCATTAGTCGGCATCACACGCGTGAAAATCGTAAATAGTCACAACTGAATAGCGACTTTTGAATAGCCTACGACTAAAGCCGACAGGAAACAGTCGAAACCCGCGATGGTTAGTGCGCAATCGCATCGTTCCCGGAAGAACCTATCAAAGCGGTTTCGTTCCCACTTTTCAAAAATAGGAGCCTGTTCTGATTACTATAACATGTCAACATAGGAAAAGAATTAAAACCTTATAAAATATGGAATGTTCTATACCTAAGAAGATGTGCAGTATGTTTATTACTCCTATATTCAAAATACATTAACTGATAAAATATATGAAATGGTCACATTATACAGAGAACTTGAAAACTATAATTAAATTTACAATGTTAATATCAGATATACATATATATTCAATTTTCCTCTTCATCAGGTTCTTGTAAATGATCTAATTTAAGTTGTTTTGTTCTATCTATTTTCATAAGATGTATTTCTCTATTATTCTTTTTCTTCTTTTTCTGGCCAACAACGTATTCTGGCATAATAATTTTACTGCTCCTAAAGACTGGCTTATCGTCACTTTCAATGATAACTGGTGTATTGTCTGTTTCATTTGTGTTACTTTCAGGTTTCTTAAATTCAACTTCTGCCATTGATATTTTTTGTTTTTTGCATTTAAACATTATTTTGGATTGACTCCTCTTAACTAAATCAGATTCATCTGCATCCTTTCCCTCGGATTCTTCTATTTTTTCCACTGATCTTCTTGCCTTTAATTCTTTTAAAAACGATAATGCAGCCCTTGTATTACTTTCCTCAGTCATATCATCATTGGACACATCATCCAGACTGTATTTCTTCCACTTATGAGGATTTTTGTGAAAGTCTGGTATGTTTCTACTGATAGCACGTGGTGCTGGGCCTTCTGGCCTTTTAAAGATACTCTCTTTACCACGAAACCTTCTTGTTTGACTTTTACGGCCAGCTCTCAGGATTTGAGAATAGTTTGATTCGCTGTCAATATCCTGTGTAGATTCCATAGATTCAGTGACCATTTTATTTTTACTACATTCTTGTTCTGCGTCTGACAATTTATCAAACAATAATTTTTGTCTGTTTGCAAATTCTGCACTACCACCATGCAAAACAAAATCTCCAGTTGTATGCATTTTTTTTGTACAGATTTATATTGTCTGAATAGAAACGTCAAACATGAATATCACAAATATGAGATATATGTATGATGCACTAACACACTGAGATAGGTTAGAACACTCAACAGTTATTTGCTTAAATATTTAAAATCGATAAGATCTTTATATGTCTTCGACAAATTGCTTATAGGTTTACCGTCCCTTTATTAATTTCTAATATTTAATAATAACAATAACAATATTGACGTTAAGTAGTTAAACTGCGTTGTATGTACGACGCCATTATATCTCGAAAATGGGTATCGAATTTAAAATCGTATACTGAATATATAAACTTTTAGAACAATAAACAAAGTAATATTTATTTAAAAAATTCAAGATATATTATGAATGGAGGCAGACATTATGATATAATTATTTAATAATAAAATATTTGGGAAATTCATTTTGTAATATTAACAACTTTGTAATAAATTTTACTTTTTATACTCTATATGCAACTGCTATAGAACATGATCTTTAACAAGTACTATATTTTACACTTTTGTACTTCTTAGAAAGAAGTAAAATTAACATTAATTCCCTACTACAATAAGCAATTTTATACATATACCAAGCTGTGCTTAAGCTGTTGTTCAGTATCCATTATCAAGAAAAAGTACGATTTATTAAATTTTACACATACTATAATATTAAAAAATATTGTGTCTTTTTCATGCAATATTTAGATTTTCTTAACGATTTCCTTTACATATTTATTCTAATTTATCTGTATATAATTCATAAACTTTATCTCCTCAAATTGTTCCATATTTTTAACCAATTTGAAACTTATCTTTCTACAATTTTTCAACTTGTTACAAGAAAAGGACTAATATAGTGGTAGTAAAGTTCTTATGTTTATTTTATTTTTACTAAATTTATCATTACACTTGCAAGCTTTATTTGCAGCCTTCGATACTTCTTGTTTGGCATTCACAGAGACTTCATATGGGATACGCACAAAATAAATTGAAAGATTTACCATGTGTATACTCGAAGAAGCAACTACGAATAGTGGTTCAAAATGAATTTAGTCGTTTCTACAACCAATTTGACGCAATCAATCCGAACAAGTAATCAGGTTGCAATATTCCATCGATTTCTAAATAATTATTAACACACAATAGACTCAGCGACACTCGTTAGAGTAACATTTGATCTTACCATAATTTGAGTACAACGAGTCGCGGCGAATAAAATTTAACCGATCAAATAGCAACACGAAATTTAATGACTAACGTATAATGGTAACGATAGAACACACCTAAGCGGCCATTTATGACATTAGCTCGCGAAAGGTATTAGCTAGTAGTAATTGTTAAACGAATATGACAATTACTATGAAAACGACGAACATCGTTTCAATAATGTCATCTTTCTCGTGTTTTTTATAACGACACGACATTGCCTTTATTAATAAAATTCGATGTTAACAATGATATATTATGTACAATTTAAATCTAGACACTTGGTATTACTATAGTAATAAGAAATTAATTGACTTAATTACCAATAGACAAATATACGTTGAATGGTCACTTGTTAAAGTATGGTATGTAACATTAATTTAGTGAATTAATAAAGAAATTATTTAAGCGTTCAGGTATGCGAACGTAAGATATGTATATGTATATATAAAGAAAGATAAAAACAGTATCTCTAGATATTTCTGAACATCTTCATTGTATCGTGTTTTTCAATAAAGTATCATTTCTTCTCCATTCTTCGTAACATATTTAACGCTCTCTGTAACTTATCTATTAGTGTATAATAGTCCTCTAAATCTTTTTATAAATAGTTAAGATATTTAGAATGAAAAGAATCGATATCATTTAAAGAAATTAACCAACTGTCTAGATTTGAACCGGATGTTAAATGCACCAACTCCAAATTGATTTCCCCCTTTAATTGAGCTCCAAAATTCTTCGTTGTTAAAGGGACAATTCAGAGTTGTTGATTTCGAACCACGCAATGATTCACTCGAAGTCAGTAATTTCAAAGGTAATGACGATCATGAAAAATGCATCGCTGTTATTGTTTATAAAAATTTGGTATAAAGCATAGAAAAATTGTTGCAAAAACGAAGCTTGCGTAATTGAACGTCGTATTTACACGGACCAGCCATGGTTCCACGCTCTAACTCACAATTTGAACGCTATATACTCTGAACAGCAATTATGAACACAACGAACGTAGCCGTTAACGTATAACAGGATACAGATAATAGCGACGATGGAAAACTAAAAATACTAAACAGGTTGACTACCATTTGTACGAAAAATATCTGGTATCCTCTATCTTTATTATTCTAGAAGATACCAGGATATGAATTAATGTAGAAGAGAAATGAGAAATTATGGCAGAAATAGTAGCTCAGCCTGTATAAAATTTTTAGTCTCCGTTATGATAAAATTACAAATACTGTTTAAACATTTTTAGAGAACTTATTTGTAAAGGGCGCGTAAAATTTTGTATCAAAGATAACAAAGGATGTTTAAAAATATGTAAGATCAATCTTCTTTCAATGTTCTTTAAATTGATTGATTTTAAAATGGTACTTGCCAAAGCCATTGCTAGGAGTTTTAAGTTAGTTTCTTTCTTTGCTTTGCTTTACGTCAATTACTTTTACAATTTTGCCAAAAGGTTTATAAATACTTGGTTAAAAAAATAATAATATAATTGTTATTATTTTATAAGAAAGAATAGATACAAATAATCAATAAAAATGTTCCAATGTACAAAATTCATTACAATATTTTCTCAAAATTAAAATTTACTGTGATTAGACAACAAGTAAATATCTCTATAAAAAATGCGAAGACAATAAAATATGTAAACTTCAAAACGATTATTTAAAATTGAAAAATATTTGAATCGTTTAAAATCCAGTTTTCTATCCTCAGAAAATATCACTTCGCGAGGAGGAACGTTATATCCGAAAGTATCTATAAACTAGCGGAAAGGGACATTAACAAACGTATAATAATTAGATTTCAGCCTCTTTCAGCTTTCTTGCCATCGTATAGCATCCATTGTTTGCGAAATTAAAGTAAAATAAAAGATACTTCACGAAAACGAGAGGAAATCTGTAAAATAAACTATATTTTTCAGCAGTATGTAGCGGACGAATGTTAATATCGATTAAACGCAAAACATTGTTATCCTTAGTACCTAAATCAGTATCATAACTCATTGTCATATCATAATACTATTGAAACTTCGAAAAATTTTATCGCAAAAGTTTCACGTAATGCTGCAAAGATACGAAAAACGGTAGGAAAGAAATTAGCTTTCGGTGAGAGATTCAAGAATCTGTCAATGTCATCGATTCCTCTTCGTCTTGGCCCCGTATTCAATGTCGTTCAGTCGAAAATACAGGCGAGAACTCGTACGAGACAATTACCGATTCTCGCACAGGTCTTCTGTCCCTGATTTGCACATTCCTTTCTCCTGTTCTTCCGATTGTCTTGGCATTCTTTTTTCCCTGGTTTCGATATTTTGTAGCTTTGGTCCTCGCAGATTCTCGTACCCATCCTTGGAGTACTGATCAGCTTAGGTAATGTTCCAGTTACGGAATTTCGGAGCTATGGACAAGGAATATAATAAACCTTTTATAACTATCATAAACATTATATTTATAATTAATTATAAATTAATTCTATACTTGTTATATATTTTTCAATTGAATTCCAATACCAAAGAATAGATTAAAATTACACAACATGTTTAACAGAAAGTTAGTCGAATCTTCGTTTTAGATTTTATTAATGAAACTTTTATTTTACTTTTATTATTGAAAGTAAAGTTACATGTATTTTTAGAAAAAATAAAACTCTTTCTGTCTATTTATCTAAATATAAATTGATTGAGATGGAATATTATATGTACCAACATGCTTCAAAGTAAACGTGACTTTTTATGATGTGAAGTATCGTGTAAAGTAGCGTTCAGATGATCAATATTATTATCGATACTTTTTCCAATATTTAAAGTTTTCAATATTGTATTGACAATATATATTGATCGCCTGGAGAGTCTCTTACATATGATGATATTGTGAATCTTAAACATATTAACGATATGTAATGTTGGTCGTCTGAACGCTCCTTTATGATCGCTACGTTTGTTTATCATTTTATCCGATGATAGGAAGTGATATAAATATAATCTAAATAAATTCTGAAATTCACATGTTTGTAGATAATATTACTAGAAATTATTGGATATCATATTTGGGTATGACTAGCACTAATTATTATTATCCAAACTGTTCAACAAATTTACGTAGAAAATATAAATCTATTTACCGTTCTTCTACGTCTCTCATATCTGCTATTATGTTTCGCATCTTCAAGTTTATTATTTATCCTATATTTTCTAATCGTCATTTTACACTTTGCTAATAGATACGTTAATACACCACAAAAGTGAAACTTATTATCGAATATTTCGTATTTATTAAATTTTACGATATACGAAGATCTTTATTTTATCTTCTTCGACTTTTAGTTGAACATCGCACAAAGAGATAAGAAAATATTCACATAAAACCACACTTAGATGTCAGTATATTACACAAAAGATAGTCGAGAACTGAAATGGGTGATTTGATAAATGAATATGGTATAAATGGGATTTGGGCACTGCTAGATCAATAAACCATGGTCAGATAAAAGAGTACTGTCTGATAATGATCGTGGACATCGTTTTCAGCAACAAGATAAGTACTAACGTCTGATAAAGAAGGTGTGTTTCACTTTCACCTCGAGCGATATAGTTCTTATCGAATCGCGGAAAATTAACAATATACACGTATAACGTGGAAAAACGAGCAGAAATAGTTCTATCAAGTTTGGACAAGAAATATTAATTACTTCTTATCAAACATGATTATTACATAGATTACATCTTTAATGATTGTAAAGAAAAAAACTTACAATTGAAATAAGATATGTATCACTGGTGGTGTAGGAAAAGGGAGTATTTTATAAAATTAAGATATGCTCGAAAATAAAAGTGATATTGAGATAATCGCAGTATATAATTATGTTAGTAAACAATTCTATTATATAAAACTTCAGTAACACAGTAATATGTTATACATGTATAAATATTGACAATTTTTTAAATTCTAATTAATTTTACTTGAATCAGACATTTCCTAACTATTATATTTTACTCACTACTCTGTCTAAATATCATATTCCATATTATAACAATAAAATTTCTTTCTAGATATAATATGTACAATCAATTATTGTTTAATATATCACCAAAAATGAAACTTTGGAGATTTAAAACAGAAAAGAAGGAAAGAAGAATTTTAATCTTCTCAACAGGTACTGTTAGATCATGAATAATCAAAACAGTCTAGATCAGAGTATATAATGTTCAAACGTGTAATCTGTTTTATATGTGTAATATTTACTTAAACATGCTATAGACAGACAATTAAAAAGTAAAGTGTTAATTTTTGAAATTTAGAAAAAGAAGGGGGAGAAAAAATAATTAATCTTCTTAAGAGATATTATCGAATCCCAAATAGTCAAAAACAGTTTGGACTAGAATAACTCATTTCTAAGTATCTAAATATGGTGAAAATAATTATCAATTACATATGTATGATCTTATTCCTATCCTTCAAAAAATCAAAACATCCTTTCCCAAAACCACTTTGATCAAAAATTGTTATCACGTGAAAATGAATGCTAATGTTACCCAAACAATTATATATCGTTTGATCCGATGATATATACTAGTTCAGTGCGAAAAAGTGTGAACGTACCTTCTCTTCCTCGTGTTTTACCGTATGTCCCAAAATTCTGGCAACGATATAAGCCGACTCTTCGCTAAAAAAGATTCCGCTCGCCATAGGACCCTCGATGAACTCTCTGTCAGTCATAAGAAGATATCGGACGCTATACCAAACATCGTCCGAGAGCGCGGCTCTCTTATTGCTAGCGGTTGGTTTGACTCCGTTTCTTTTACACTCGAACATGGCCCATCTGTCTAATGCTTCGAACAGTATCGATTCTTTGGTCAATCTCAGGGTGTCTCGAGACACCAATTCTTTCACTTCGGTAGAACTCAACTGTTGGAAGTATTCCTGGCAGAAAACCGTCTCCGGATCCGAGTCGATCACGTCCAAACAAGCGAGAAGAAGTCGCGTACAGACTGCGGCTAAGATTTCAACGAGGTTTTAGTTATCGAGGTTCTAATCCTGGAGGAAGGAGAAATGGTAGGAGAAATTAGTAGATATTAGAATTGGTTATATAGTATGCTCTCTATGGTCTAACTTTTCTCATCTTGCTGAACAACTTGAGAATTTACTAATGTTTTTTGGAATTATGTTTTCTGCTGAATTAGCGTTGTGCGCAATATTTTTTAGGATGAATTGGCGTTTGTGGATTTTTTTAAGATAAGTTGATTACAAGGAGTGGCAATAGCGGTAGTGTTTACTTTGTGGGTGTGATAGGTCGGTTGTGTTTTAGTAATGCGGCTTCATGGTTAATTCAATTAGTGGCAGTAATGTCACTCGTTTAGCGATATACTTGATGGCATTGAAAGTTTTATTCGTGGAACCATTGTTTGAAAGATTTGTCGCCTTTTTACAAATTCTCAATTACCAAATTCTCAGTTACCAAATTATTCAAAAATATGACGAATTTCAGCGTTAAACATTGATGGTTTAATTGGTTGCTCTAGTTATTTAAACAATTATTAACGTAGAATAATGAATAGAATAATAAAATATTGACTAAAGCATTATTTAACGATCGTAGAAATTTCCATACGATTCGAAATTAAAAATTTAAAGATAACTTGAATTTTTATCGTGTTATGCCAATTGTTACTTTCACCATGGAATTTCCGTTGTAATTTTTCTCGTGCGATTCAAGAGCGTTATTCGAGGAATATTAATTAAGAATTGTCCAAATTCCAAAAAAGGCAATTTAGGCAAAAAAGACAATACCTATTTCAGCAGCGTCATCACCGGGAGCAGGAGGAGCTGTAGGTGACCAGTTGGGATGCCAGCTTATGTGGTTCGCGTAAAGAGTGAGGCCTTCGTAGATCTCAAGCGCGGAAATCGGAGTTAGGCTCTTTTCGAGAAACTCAACGATCAATCGTACTAATCCTGGACAAAGATACTGATGAGCCGCATGAAGTGTTGATTTAGCCATAGTCACGGTATGGAAATTGATCGTCTCGTCGAGAAGGTATCTGCACAAAGATGAACGTACTTCGAGTTGGTATGAAAGAAAACAGTTGCCTGAAGATTTGTATCGTTGAATTACAGATTTTAACCATATTTTTCAGCCATGTTTGTTCAGATTTATACCAACTCCTCCTCTTTTATCTAATAAGAATTTTTAAAATATTAAAGTCTCCAAAACTGCCCTAATCTTTAGTTAATCGTAGGCACTGTTAGGTGAGAAATTATTTTATCAAATACCTTTCGCTTAGATTTGGGCTAATTTGGATGTGACAAGTTCTAGGAGAATTTTTTTCGAAATTTACATCTACTACATCTTTTCCTCGGACGTCGAGCTGTGATCATTCTTCGTTCGCAACGGACTATCAACGGGAATGTAATTAAAATAAGAATCCAAAAGTAAGCGATGGTACCAAGTATCGTCAATGTGTACAGAGACGTTGCCATAATAGCATCGCGATTCTTTCTAAAAATACTCGATTCTCTAATAAAAGGAATTCTTATTTTTACTTATAAAGAGTGTTAAGATGTTGAACGACGAGAGATATTATTTATCAAATTCTTCTTACTACGTTTCTATGATTTTAATTAAAACGTCGTAAAGGTTATCCTTCTCTAAACCATGTTCTTATAATGATTGATTTCTGTGGAAGATCACCACTTTTGTCTTTAGCCCTCCCCCTCTCCCATTGTAAGTTACATAAAATAACTATGCTATGAAAGAAATGATATAGTTTTGTTATCTACTATTGTTTATAAAGTCACGAAGAATTTCAAGCAATACAAAATAAAAAATTGAATTTCCAAATGTATCAAATACAGCTAACGCTTGTTTAAACTCCAGTGTATGTTACGTAATATTATTTCGCCTAAATTCAGATGCGCTTGTCCTCTATGCGCTAGATCTATTCTTTTTCCTCATCGAGCAGCTAGAAAATATTCTCGTGGCAGCTTCCTTTCCGCTAGAATTACAATGCAAATTCCCGATTTATTGTAATTTAGACGAGCTCTACCATAGTCGAACTAATCGTATCTCCACAAACTTCCAACTTTAATATAACTATCGACACTGTGTTTACCTGAGTAAATGATCGAAAGCCCTTTTGTCCACGTGTTGTAATCTCAACACAGGTGGAGGATCGCTTGGTGCAGGCGCTAAAGGACCGAGGAGCATAGCACGGAAACATTCCGATTTCTCGGCGAGTCGTTGCCTTCCTACGCAGTAGGTCCACGTGTCTCCGGGTCGACCAACCTAAATGCAATATGCACATACAGTACCAGACATTTAAAAGGAGAGAAGAAATTTTTCTCATTGTGTTTCAGCATCACGCGAACCAATACAGGTTTCGTAAGTGAGAGAAATGAATTTAGGAGATGCGTGGTAAGCAGGATGCGAATATCTACGTGAATTCATATTTTTACGAACAGAATGTAAAAGATGAAATCTGGAGAGAAATTTGTTTTACCTACTAAATATCAAATATTTCATAATATTTCATAATGTTTATTACATAGTGATAAGCGTTCGATTTTTCTGACCGGTTCCGTTTCTTTCGTAATGATTTCTGCCGCTTGTTGTAGTTTTCTTAACAGCGTTCTTTATCTTTTAGATACGAAATTTCTGTGTTGAAGTCTCATATTCGGTTCTCTATTCAAATTAGAGAACGAGAAGATTGAGCGACTTTGCAGATCTTTTAAATTATTGTGTAACGTATATGATTCGATGGAAGTGTGGTGCAAATGATAAAATTCTGTAATACGAGAAAAACGAATGAAATTTTACGATATGAGGCTTTAGATGTTTTGAAAGATTAAAACAGGTTATTATACACGCATATACACATTAAACACCCAGAAAATTTTTAGATAAGAAATTCTGTACAATTTTAATATAGATAAGATCCTTTAGATAAAAGTATAATACTTACGCCACGCGTAATCTGTTTCTCGAATGTAACGTAATTTCTAAAAGGAATAGAAAATAGAATCTTAAACAAGCTATAACGTTATAGAAATCATTTAGTGCAACAGTTATCGAATCGACTTCTTCGATACCCTTTTTTCTATTGATTAACAAACATCAACGGATAGTATCGTACACGCGCAAACAAAATGCCTTCTTTTCTGTTTAAATCCGATATAAGCCAAAAGGTATTACACTGAGGTTACCGCAGTTTATGCAATTCAAATCAAAATGCCATTTGATAGACGATTAAAAAAGTAGATCGATAAGATGTTGATAAAAGGATACGTAAGCATAGAAAATGTGAATACGCGCTATTCATACATCATTCAGTACACACAATTCATGAAATCATGAAAGGTATGGAGAACTTTTTCGTTTTATTCTTTTTTTATTTTTTTTTTTCTTTTTTTTTTACCTCAAGAATCACCATGTTACGAATCGAAGATTCCGTCGATCCATTTCCCTCGGTCCTGATAAGAGGAACTTGAGCCATGTCTTCCGTCGAGTTTCGAAGGATCGTAAGTTCTTTCAACGAATCCCACGCGATTACTGGTAGGATTATGATCCTGGAATAGATTCGAATCCTAACACCCTCCTGAATCTTTTGTCGTGTCCTTTCAAACTCGGTGCGAGCGCATCGTGAGCTGTCGTCTGCAACAAAACACACAAGAAACTCGATGCTCCAGGGGTCAGGTTGCAAAACCTGAATTAAAATTTCTAATTTCCTCGTTTTGAAATATTTGAAAGTATAGCAGGGAATTACGTTGCGAAGATTATATCGGTAGTAAAGTACAATTGGTCTTTAGATGTTCTTTTAATACAAAGGAAGCTATGACTTTGTTCGACTAATGTTTATTCTTTGTTAGGAAAATGTTACGTAACATTTTTTTAAACTCGTATAGCATTGTTTTCTAAAGTAGTAATCTTTCAATTGTTTTTCGAAAATAAAAAATGTCTCATGGAATTTATGTACATTAATTATTGTGTGATTTTAGTATTTATTTTATAGATATTTCGTTCAAGACTCTAATTAAATTTTATCGTTAAATTTATTATTTATTCTTTACCGGTTTGGATCAACATTTTTTTATGCAACATTATAAAATAATAATAATGTAATATATACTATGTAATATATTATAAATACTATAATTGTAATTATAATAATTGTAATAATAATAATTGTAATAATTGTAATATTGTGTCGTGCAGTTAAATATTATGAAACTAGATATCAAACAGTTTAATTTTATACACGCTATTATTAATACGAAGAATTTTCTTTAGTATTGATATTTATAGAAATTTCAACATCGGTGTATTTTTTTTTTTAATGATGTTACGTATTTCTATTATTACTGCCTATTATTTACACGTTTGAAGACGCGTGAGTACGAAGTGTGTATTTAAACAATAACAATTAGAGTACAATTCCAACATAAATTCATAGACGTAACATTTTACGACAGCAAACCTTGGAATAGAAATTTCGAAATATTACGAGTTTTCAAGTTTTTCCTTCTTAATTTTATACAATTCAGAATGCTACAATCTTTTCAAGGTGCGAATTTCAATAAAACGATAATATGCGATAGGCTTATGTCGCGACGATGCGTAAACAGAAACAGATAATAGTTACATTTATTTTTATATCTTCGATGAATCGTTTATTCGAATATCACGTATTTCGCCAACTAGACCAAGAATCAATGAGTACTATTTTTAGTTTTTCACGCTTCTATTAAGCGATTCGATGTTGTTGTGCTATGTAGACACGAGAAAATCTAGCAGTATCTGAACCATACAAGAGTTTGGCAACGTTCATCGTAGGTAGCATTTTATGTTTGATTACCTCTTGATTCTTTTTCATTGAGATAATGAACAGTACTTATATTCCTGATTGAAATAGCGAGGAAGAAAATTATATCCTGTGACTTATAAAAATGAAGAAAAATCAAGAAAGAAAAAATCGACTGAGAAAAATCAAGTTCTCAACAATGCTTAAGTGATTTTTATATTACACGCTTAAAAATGAGAATTGTCAAAGCATAAAAAGAAGGATATGTAAAATTTGTTACATTTTAAGTAAAGAGAAGTTACAGTATCCTGTGAGTTTAGTAGCCTGTTATGTCGAAAGCTGACGAAACATTTCTTTTATGTGTGTTCTTCATACGTTAGACGAAATATTTTGTCTCAAGGCTAGAAGAGCATCCTGTTCTTATCATAAAAGTGCAATGGCAAACAAATTCATGAATCTGTAATTTTCTTACATGAAATTTCTACTGTACGAGATTTGTGCCGTTAAATTTCTCTGTAATAGACGTTATAATTATAGCAATTGGCTTAGCGACAGGATTTCTTAATATCAATTCATTACGATTTAATATTGTTCAAAAGAAACGTGAAAACTAAGTTAAGCAACTTTTTACGATAGTGAAGATACGATGTTAACTTTCTACATATCTGTTGACCGCAATTCTTATATTTTAGTTCTTCGTGAAAAGAAGCGTTGCTTAGGAACAATTGGTGCCTATTTATCGATGTAACAAGCATAGAATTTTGATGGCCGACTAACGCAAAGATAAAAATTCTACGTTACATTCGTTAAACGAGCGTCAGAAAAATGTGCGTCTTACCATCGTTGCATACGACTGTCATGTTGATGGCGCGGTTCACAAAGTTGTTTTCTTTTGTCAAAAATTTTGTTAAAAAAGTTTTGTTAAAAAATATCAACACTCAACATATTCTTCACTGTTTACTTTCTGAAATTATGTTATCCTTTACTGTTTGTCTTATAATTTTCCCTATGGAATTTATCGTCTGAAGTAACAATAAGAGGAAAAATATCGTCGAAGTGTTTAAATAATGAGATCGTTCGATAAAAAATATTACTTTCACCACACTATTTATCTATTTACTTTATATTGCTTTTATATTTAAACGATACTGCGGAAAAACACAGGCTGTATGAAATTCTTACTTTTCACTATTTTTACTCTTCGATACACTATAGTCGTCTATTATCCGCGTGTTATGTCATCCAAACGAAAGAAATTTCTCAATTAGCGCAACGAGTCCCTGAAATTCCAAAAATCCTATATCTTCACGATAAAAACAATATTCGATTACGATTCATATTTTCACGTATCTTCGCGCAAGGATCTACCAAACAAACTTTCTTCGAAGAAACTTCACTGTCATACTTTTATCTTTTAAGTTAAGATCTGTTTTCTTATTCTGCCGACAAATCGATTCGATCGAAACAGAGTGGACACGGCAACCCTCTCAGAGCGAACAACCTCGCTCGACTGACAGATCGATCAGACTCGTGCGGCTGCAATGAATGAGTCAGTCTACGGGGGGGATTCGTTTTAAAATGCAAATGTATGCGGTTACGTTTTATCGACTGCAACGACAATTACTTATAAACAACGGATAAAGGTCTCAGGCACCGTGGAATGTCTCGAGTCTGTGACACCGTCTTATCGATACGTCGAACATCGATGGGGAAAAGAAAGCCGATTGGTTTGCTTCGTACGTTCGAAGAGGATGCTACTGCTATGGGAATTTTATTTGGCTTGCGAGATAACTGGATTATGGATTTTCATGCTTTTAGAGGAAATCTGGAAGTGCAGAAAGACATAGATATGCACGTCATATGCAAAAACTATACGAGATATTCAGAGTATAGCGTTTATAATATTCAATGGATGAAATAAATTTCTATTCGGATTCCGTTTGTTCGATCAACCGTTTGCACTTCGAATTTTATTTCAATTTCGTTAGCAGCAGCTGCCAACGCTTTTGAGTGTTTTATTTGAAATTTACTTTAACTCAAAAATAAGACAATTTAAGTAAATAAAGGAAGAAAGAAATTCACTTAAATACTAGTATTATTGTTCACACTATTGTTGTATTTTGTAATTTTTGATTGTGTGATATATCTTGAAACAATTTCCAGGATGCAATCCTGGCTTTCTTTCACAAATAAGGTGGGACTCGACAAAGGAGCTCCTGAGATAAAAATTGACGTCGAGTCACACTCGACATAGGAGTGCAAAGGATTAAGCTTCGATCGAAATACGAATTTGCATAAAAGGTAACTGGCAACCTGGTTTAATTCTTTCTCTATGGCATCGAATATACGACACCGATGGTAATTTTGAAAGCTGCAGATGAGGATAGTTTTTATATATAGATACGTAAATATTTTTTATAATTATTCATATATTGTGATAACTATTTTTACGATTATTGTATTACATAAAACGAATCTACTACGTTTTTAGCAAATAATTTTGACCGATATTTGTAGCCGTATAAAGAGATGTTCTCACGATCTTGAAGGAAATGAAGTTTGAGAAATCTTTTTATAAGTAATTAGAAAATGAAAAGTTTGGGGTTTTCCGGATGATGTTGATGTAATTTCTTCACTTTTCAATATTTTTAAAAGCAAAAAAGTTGCAAAATGGTGAAGTTACTTAATATATCTGGAATACCTTCTGTTACTTTTCGATAACTGATCGCCATTCCCAAAAATTGGGACGTTTGAAATAAAAAATCATTTTTATATCTTTACCAAATACAAATATATCCTATTTTTTTTCATATGATTTCATAAGTATTATATACTTGTGTAACATTATTTTGGGTTGATTGCATTATATAAATTTCTCGTGAATTCTTTTTCGTGAATAAGTAGTTGCCATTAGCTAAGATACTATCACTGATAGAAAGTATCTCGTGAACAGACTCGTGGAATGCATTTTTATTGTGTCTTAAAGAAACACTTTATCGATACTTCGAAGCATTGAAAACTGCTTTGGTCAGCAATTTGATGCATACGTTTTATACTATACTTATATCGCCATAGAACTCACAAGTTATAAATTTACAAATTTACTTACAAATTATAGCTAAAAATTATTTACTATGTAAGTTTTACATTGTTCGATATTTAACATCGTACTCGTCTATTTACAATTATCAATTAAAACGTAAAAAAGTGATTCCGTCAGCAATGTCAATTTTTATGTAGTAGAATTTACAACTAGCAAAAGTGCTGGACGAAATATTTATGATTTAACAGTGAAACGTTCGGTTTAAAAAATAACGCGTTCATATTATTTCAGTATTATAGTATTTTCAGTAGGAAATATTTCCATGCCATTTTTTATCGGTTTCTTTTTACATATTTCGTTAAAAAGGAAAGAATAAAATACACAGAAGAAAGATACAATCGGATTGTTCAATTTTGACATGAGACATCAGAGGTCTCACAACTATACTTTTATGTTCCATCCTGTTCCATTTTTCCTTCTCTCTTTTTTCTCTTTCCTTTGTTGTATGTCGAACAATACATGATTGACAGAAATCTTGAGGCTGTGTTAATATAGTTTTGCATTTGAAACGGATAATTAGCACGCGTTAATTGATTGCAATTCCCGAGACGTGCACGAGTAATTTCATTTTGAAGGCCGGGACCAAGGTTACACCATAGTTATACAAGTAGAATGAAACTTGCAGGACGATACCAATTTATCTACGAAATGTCTTTTTACGATTTTGATTTTTATTTGAATAAAATACTATTCTGATTAATTATAATCAGAATTATTAGATACAATGGATAAATCAGAGTGATATTGATATTAGTATTTATTTTTCTTCTTAATTGATAAAGGAAAGAAACTTATCAAAAACAAAATATAGGAATTCACATTTTGATTGCGATTAAAAGATAGTTAGATTTGTTATGTATTAAAGAAAATTACCATTCTCCGTGTCTTGGAAAAGATCTTTGATCATTTCAATGTCATCGTCATGTAAATTTTTCTTCGTAATAATCATAATGATGAAAGATAAAGAAGCTTGAGACACGAGAGATTCACGAAGAATTCGGATAGTGTGCGAACGCTACTAAAATTCTTCGTTGCTTGTGAATCACGGTTTCGTTAAAATTAGAGCTAGCAGAGGCAAGAACCCAGAGGGACGTTGGCCACCGGGGTCAAATAATTTTAGTAAAAATCTGTCTTGCCCCAAAAATATCATTCACATGGCGGTAAGCCTAACCTTGAGAATCCGGGCGCCAATGAACCCTTAAATTATTCAGGCTAATCTTAATTCGAGAGTATAAACACACAGCTACGATAGCGTGTTTCTTTCTGAATTAAAACAAAATTATGTTACTTTTTCTAAGATAAAGAAATTATGTTACTAAAAATTTTATTATTATTTTCTTTTCTTTTCGTAATTTCAAAATATATCCGAAGAAATAATTTATTTATTCGTTTATTTGATATAAATTACATAGAATGATATATTTATGAATAATTTTAGACGTGTTTATCGATTAAAAAATATGATTCTAAAAAGATTTTAAACAATTGTAGAAGAAATAAGTATGTATACGGATTGGATAGAAACTACTTGTATCAGATTATGTATACACGTTCCGCCGCAACCGATGTACACGTGAATTTGTTGACTAAAATTTTGCGCAACAACGCTGTTGAATTTAACACGATCCATGCGTAAACGGATAATTAAGCTAAACGAGCTCCAACGCGACCTTTTAATTCAATTGAGATTAATTTCTTTGTTTCATACGCGTCTATATTACCATAAGATACACGAATGTAGTGGAAAATTAATCGTGTTGAAAATAACGTGGCAAAATTATATAAAATGAACATTGAAAATGAATTTTCTTTTTCGATTCTCACTTATATTATTCACATAATGGTATCTATATGAAATATTAAAAAAAAAGCTACAATATTTTATAATTATAATCCTTATAAGTTATAAGCTCGTGTATGATTTGATATACTGAGCAAATGATATAATTATAATAGTTATAATTAATATACGAAATAAGTAATATAATAAGAAAGTTGAAAAACTTTCCAAATATAAAACATTCGTTTTCTATAGTTATACTTTCTTATAATTGTAACTCTATGAATATATATGTAATATATCTGATAAATTATAATTTTTATAAATGATAAATTCACTATTTTCTAATCGTTTCAAACTATGCGTCAGACGATATAGTATCGAGTAAGTGTTGGAGACGGGTGTAAAAAGAAAAAATCTCAGTTCATGTTTCTAATCCGATGCACGTATTAATTTCTCACGGTTGCATTAACTAGATTCACGCATGTCGATCAGCATATATTGTGAATAATAATGAGTACTGTCTGTGTTTTCAAAGACGTAATTCATTTTTATACCGGTCGTATGTATCACCTTCTGCGACTATCGATTCCAGCACTTCATTGATGTTGACTCGTCGATATTATGCGTATCATTTAATTCGTGTTAGTTTTATCCAAAGAATAAACGAATTAAATTTTAGAGAAGAAGTTGCGAACTATTTAAAAATTACATTTCATTTATTCCAATATATCTGCTTAATATATTTCATTAGATTAAATAATTGTATATTTTATATCCAAAGCGACATCGAAGTTTTCCTGTTATGATTTATATGTATTTCATAACTTTTCCATTTATTTTATCTAGTAATATACAAAACACGAAAAAGAAGATAAAATTTATTTGGAATTAAAAGCTTTTAAATATGGTATTCAACATTTTCTATTAGAACGAGACTGTCCGAAATGAACGTATATAGTTTCAATAATCATGAAATTTATTTTGATAATATTGTTCATACATCTACCGTTGTAGTATCGTCACTCGAATGATCAGTCAATAATAGATATAACTGTCAATAATAGCGATTGAGACTCCACTGATAGTATTTGCTCAATTAAGAACAAATGTAAACCTATCGCTTCTCATAACGAAAAGAATAATTGAACTACTTAAGTTGAAAATATAGAAGGAAGCAACTTCTAAAATACTTGACAATTATTTGATAATAGAATTAATTTAATGAGATAATTCTAAATAATACATTTCTTAAGTATAGAAAAATATTTTGAAAGGTTTGCTCGTTTAATAAATCTTTATGTCAGCATAAGGAAACAATTTTTCTTATTATTAATATATCTTTCCTTATGAAATACACGCTTTTGTATACCTTCTTTTTTCCCCTAGATACCAAGGAAAAAAGGAAAAATAATCAAAGCTGAAATTCATGCTGGCTAATTATGAATCTGAAGAGAAAACGCAGAACCGTAAATATAATTAATGTGGTGTTTTACAAGAAATATTTCGACATTCCTCTTCGTAGGCGTATGCAACGAATGTGACCTCGAAGTCTGTGGTATACAATATACATATTGTCTCTCGTTATTACGTGTCCTATACTCTCGTCG